ACCTCATGCTGTTGTGTGTCTGGTTTAAGAAGCTGTGATATAGGTTGTGAAAGGCTTGATTCTGAGGATGTTGAACTCTCAGTTCTTCTCCTGTTGATCATGCTTTGGTGTCTTGTCTTTCAGGAAGCCATTTTCTAATACAAGATGGCGAAGAGTCACCCCTGTGTTTTCTTTTAAGAGTTTATACGTGGAACACTTACATTTCAGTGTTTGATGAAGTTTGAATTAACTTTTCTGTGCAGTCTGAGATTTATAGGTTTATCTTCATTCTGATATAACACCATTTGATTAATGTATTATTATTATTTTTTTTTGTGGTCTTTTTGAGACAGGATCTCCCTGTAGCCCCAGCTGACCTGGAACTCACTGTGTAGACCAGGGTGGCCTTGAACTCACAGAGATCCGTCTGCCTCTGCCTCCTGAGTGCTGGAACTAAAGGTGTGCGCCACTGCCCGGTTATTAATGTAGTTTTTAGTAAGTTTTAAAATTGTAATTTTAAGTCCTCCACCTTATCCCTTTTTTCACAAATATCTTAAGAATTTTTAGTCTTGTTCATTTCTATCTATGTGGATTTTCAGATTGGTTTCTACAGAAAAGGCAGTTGAGATTTGTGGCGTTAAATCTGTCCCATCGTTTGGGGCTACTATCTTAATGATACTGTCTTTTCCTTTTTCCATTTTCATGTGTGTGTTGTATGCATATGCATGTTTTCCATTTGTGTGGGCAAATGTGTATGGGTGAATATGCACATGTGTGCTTGTGTGTGCATATGGAGGTCTGAGCTTGATGTTGGGAGTCATCCTCAATAGGTTTTCCACCTTATTCACTGAGGCAGGGTCTCTCATCGAACCCAGAGTTTGCTGATATGGCTAATCTCAACAGCCAACTTGCTCTGGGGATCCTGTCTCCACCTTCCAAGGCTAGAATTACAGGTAGGCCACTACACCCACCTGGTAGTTACTTAGGTTCCACAATCAGGTGATCATGCTTATGAGACAAGTACTTTAATCACCAGGTCATCTCTTCAGTCCAATAGTACTAAGTCTGACAGTAATATACATGACTTCATTTATTTCTTTTCAATATTGTTCAATTGTTGTATGTTAAGGCTTGCACTCCTTGTGTTGAATTTGTCCCTATTTGTTTTATTCTCCATGACTAAATGATAAATGGGATTATGTCCTTAATTATGGTTTGCAGTTATTCCCTGGTAGTATAAAAACGTAAATAAACATACAGTTGTGACTTTTTTTTCTGAGATGTTGTGACCTTTTATCATTACAATAGTTTTCAGTCTCTTAAACTTCTTCCATCCAAGTACTGTCCAGGCCCAACTTTGCTTAGTTTCGAAGATCGAAGAAGATCAGGTACATTCAGGGTAGTATGGTCATGGATAACATCTTAGTTTTCAGTATGAAATCATGATGTAGAGATGGGTTCATTTCTTCCATCAGAATCTGGATGCTTTTCTTTTTCTTTGCCTCAACACTGAACTGAAGTAGTGGATGGAGCCATCCTCGTCCTATTCCACCTTTCACCATGAAGGTGTGAGTTTTCCATAGATGACCTTTCCCAGGTTTTATTGAGTTTTTTTAAAAAAAATCACAGCTCTTAGATTTTTTTAAATGCTTTTATGAATCAATTATAGATAGTCACATGGTTTTTGTCTTGTACTATTGATATATGGGATATTGTATCAAGTAAGTCTAAGAGGTTGGGCCAGTTTTGTATTCCTGTGATGAATCCCAGTTGGTCATGATGTATAGTTCTTTTTTATATACTTAGATCCATTTACTAGTATTTCGTTGACGATTTCCATTCATAGAGGACATTTGTAATTCTTAGACTATGCACACAGATTTCTGTGTGTGGTTTCTAAAAGCACCTGCATTCCTTTAGGCAGCACATCTTAAGTAACTGCTGAATGTCAAGGTTTGTCAAGAGAAAGTTATGGTGATTATATTAGAATACTTTAAATAATAAAATCTCTTCTTTTCCACAATGCTGTTGTTCATTTGAAAGCAGTATGTCCCATTGTCTCTGTGACGTACACTGTGAAACTGTCCTTTCTTTCTCAAACTTTGTCCACTAAGCTCATACTCGTAATTCACAGTGTGACCAGCAGACCCAGCTCCTGAATGGGCAGTATTAAATAAGGAGATAAGCTTGCTTGATGACGATGCCTGTTCTGTGATTCTCCTAGAGTAGAGGTTTTGATGACTCCACTCCTTCACCATAGTGTGTTTCTTCTGCCTTCATCTGCCTATTTTTTCATGTCGGAGGACTCTGGGGAGATGTGAGCAAATGTCCACACACCCCAGGTAGGGATCACAGACCAAAGAAACGTTTGTACCAAAGTCCAGCTTGATGAACCAGTGAGTTTACTGGGCCTGCTTACAGGTGTCTGTGTGAGGGGTCACTTACAGTAGCATAGGCTACTTACTCAAAGGCAGCTCCATTGCTGAAAAGTCTATCCAAGCCTGGGTGCTGTGATCTCAGAGCACTGCACAGTGTGCTGGCAGAACACTGCGGGTCAGTCTTCTCAGCTGTCCTTACGGCTTATGTAAGGTGAGGAGGGAGAGGCCTTATGGCTTATATGAGGGAGGAGGGAGAGGCCTTAAGACTTATATGGGGGAGGAGGGAGAGGCCTTAAGGCTTATATGGGTGAGGAGGGAGAGGCCTTAAGGCTTATATGGGGGAGGAGGGAGAGGCCTTAAGGCTTATGTAAGGTGAGGAGGGAGAGACCTTATGGCTTATATGAGGGGAGGAGGGAGAGGCCTTAAGGCTTATATGAGGGGAGGAGGGAGAGATATGCAAGTCTTATAAATTTCAGGGACTTCCTGAGACTTGCGAGTTGGTTACTTTATCCTAGTGTTAGCCACTTTCCTTTTAGAACTTCCTAAGTCTTGGGCCAATAAGATGGCTCAAACTGGTAGAGACACTTGTTGCTAGACCTAATGACCCGAGTTTGACTCTGGAACTCAGGTGCTGGATGGAGAGAACTGTCTCCTAAGTTGTCTTCTGACCTCCACACACACATTGTGGCATGTGCATGTAGGTGCACATCCATGGGTAACAAACACACATACACACAATAATAAATAAGTGTTAAAAAAAAATAAAGAACTTCCCGAGTCTTAAGAAGCTTCCTTCTAGGATGTAATATTTTGGTGCAGAGGAAATTTCTACACAGGTATATTAGGCTCACATATATTCCTAGAAACATGAAACATAGTTACTTTACTGTTTGCAGTAATAGCAAGAGCATGAATGGGCAGAATACAACCATGGGACAAATACCCTTTTAAGGAGCAGCTGTTATTACCACCTCTTACCTGCCAATCCCTGTGTTAGCCAGGCCTAGTAGAATGAGTCTGAGAATTTCCTATTGACTAAACTATTCTAACCTGATTCTTTGCTTCTTTCTTTATTTTACCATTCATCATTACAGCTCTAGTAACTACTCGTTGTGACACCCCAGTGAAGCAGGGTCACATAACCCATTGGAAATAAACTCAGACTCAGACAAATTCCCTTTTGCTTCCATCATACAGTTGCAGGTGCCTGGGCTCCACACTTTTCATTCCACCTGCTTGTGTTTGTTCACCCTGGCCTACTAATTCACTGTAGACCCTGAATACACCACCTCACATTAGCCCAGATTGGCATTGTCACCTTCCTGTGTGCAGTTCTCTGTTCAGTCCCCACTTAGGGAGATTTCTTGTCCTCATGTCTTAGTCTAGCTCTTGTCACATTCTCTCATAGTTCAAAACAGTGAGTCTCATGTTCCCAGTGCTCATTGAACTGTTTTGATGCTCACATGAATTCCAAGTCAACCTGTTGAACATCCTTTCATTATCACTGGCCAGATAGTCTCAATCTTCAACTTCCCATATCTCTCATAAGCCCACTCAAAACCTAGATATTTAGATGAAGAGCCAGACCCTTGTTAAGCATGACCCAGTATGTTGCTTGTGTAAACCAAAGATGGAGTCAACCAAGGACAATTGAAGAAGTGTTAGACCCTCCATGAGTACCCAAAGCTGGAATTCTGTATGAAGCATTTCTTGATTCTAACACACAAAATAATTTAGTTTTTTCATACGCTGTGCTGGCATGCAAGGACCCCTGCTGATTTTCACTAACCCTTTGTACATGATGCACTGTGTTGACCCCATTAATTATTTAATCATGTAAAATGTAAGACTTCAAAAGAAATTCAGCCCTCCTGGCACAATTGTCAGCCTTACCACCGAACTCTAAGGGTATGGACTTACCACCCAACTCTAAGAGTATGGATTCTCTTTTCAAGTTAAGGAAAAGTACATTTTATGGATTTTTATAAAATCATCTGAGGAATTAAGTTAGTGATAACAATGCTGATTTCTTTCCAAACAGGCTCTTGGCTTCCTTGTCAAGGATTAGGAAACCAGGGCTTATACTGAATTGAATATTGTATAACTGTATTAATTCAAGTGTGAAACTAAAAATTTTATAGTTACTTTTGAAAGAGATGTATCTTTGCTGTGGAAATTGTTATTGAGTATGTTAAAGCTGTAATGAAATACTGCTTCTGAAAAATAAAAAAATCTGAAAAAAAAAAGAAACCAGCACTGGACATACCCTCCTGTCAGGGTTTTAATCCTTTTTTATTCTGCTAGTCAAGTAGTCTCCTTTATTTAGATGACAACATTGTTAACTCACTTACTCTGGGTGAAGTGGGGACATGATCATTTCATGTGACTTTGGAGTCTGACACTGCTTAGATGAAAATGTAGATCATGATTTCAGAGTTTTCTTGTACATCTCTTTAAAAACACTGGCCATAAAGGTTATTGTGAAGGTGAGGAAGACTGCTTTATAAGAGAGCAAATTAGAGAACAGAGAACTTTCCTGAAGAATTCACACCTTTGCAAGAAATGTGGATTTGGTAAGCTGCAGCTGTAGGCATGTATTTTTATTCTGATAGAATTTTCTTCATTTTTCTGTATTTCTTTCAGAGTAAGTGAAGAAAAGGAAGTGACAGAAGAGCGACTAAAAACAGAGCAGGAATCATCTGAGAAGAAGATCCGGCAACTGGAAGAACAGAATGAGCTGATCATCAGAGAAAGGGAAGATATCCTTTCTGAAAGTTTGACCTTTGCGTGAAGAGAATGTAAACTCCAGAGAAATGATTGTCCTGATTTATAACAGGCACTAAATCTGTGTGTGCTGCCATTTCCCGGCATCAGGAGACACTGAGCAGCGTGTGCTGTTCCTTCCTTTGTGCTCGGTAAGGCCGCCCAGCCCCTCAGCCACCGCCGTTCGGCTGTGAAGCACTGGTTTGCCAAATAAGAGGACAGCAAGAAATTCCGGCATTAAGACGTGGTGCTGGAACTTCACTGAGGTCTGTTCTGCCACAGGAATCAAGCCAGAACCCCTCCTCTTGGGATTCGTAGTAGATAAAGCTTAAAGAGTCCTAAGGAATCCTACCTGAAATTAAAATGGATTTAAAAAATCAAAACAACATCCTTCAGAATGTGTAGGTGTTGTGCTTGATAAATTTTTATATCATTCCATAAAACCACCAAACTTTTCATGAAGCAGAAAGCTGTGGCGTTTAGAGCTACGTGTGTGTGTGTGTGTGTTGTCTGAAATGGATGCTGGGACCCAAACTCCAATCCAAGAGCAAGTGCTCTTAACCTGCTGAACCATTTCTTCATACCCTGTAAAAAGCATTTTAACTTAAAAAGGTTTTGCTTTGAGGGACATGTGAGTTAAACATATCTCTGAAATTACTCTTGGCCAAATAGAATTACCTAATAGCATTGATAGAGGAGAACCAGAGTGTGTAACGTAGGGTGATAGACCTGTAAAACTGAATGCTTGAAAGGACTGTTCTCTTTACTGCCAGTATCATTAGTAATCAGTATCATTAGTAATTTGATGGCTACTAATTATTTCAAAGATTCTGCAAGTGATAGCCATGGTCTTAAATTGACCATAATCATGCTTAAAAATACTGGTCAAGAGGAAACATAAAGTCAATTTAAGACCATGGCTATCACTTGCAGAATCTTTGAAATAGGAGACTATAAACATAAAAAACGAGTTCTGAACGTCTGATTTTTAGATAATGGGAACACAGGATAGAAAATTAATATAATCAGAACTTTCA